CACGGGAAGTATTCCAGAGAATACCACCGTGGATGTTCTGCTTCTAAGCTTATCCGCGACTTCTATTAATTTATCTTGCAGAACAGCCCTTCTGCCCTTTCCTATGTCATTGGTGCCAACATGCACCACGACCACTGGATCCACCTTGGTTGCAGTTTTTCCAGATTTACCACAATTATTCCGCAAGAAATTACTAAACCAGGAGGCTGCTTGCATTTGGACCTTGACACGTCCAGTGACACCATCACAGTATGCATTCATGTGAGTTTTTTGCTAGGCTTTGCTATGGGGAAGATGAGTACAGAAAACACATCTGGGTTACAAAAAAGTTGAGGCATTGTAAGTTAGGCTAACACTGATATTGAAATTCCTCCATTTGTACTCGATACAAACTCCACAGAAAACTTTTTGATTGATCCATGAAAATCTGTACGTATCTAAGGATGGTTTGGCATTATCTGTGGTTTTGGCTATCCGCAGTATGTCTCTGTCCATATCACCCGCAGATACAGATGGACTACTGCAATTATTATTATTATAATGCTCAGGGAGTTTTGGTGGAATCTTGCTGTTGCCATAAATGGTCTGCTTGTGTGCATTCATTTTTCTCAGCAGTAGATCTGTTTCCTCTACAGAGAAACGCTTTTTTCTGCTACCTGGTAAATCCGTCATTACAATAGCAAATTGCCAAGGTGCAACTGCACCTGGTTTTTAAAGGGAATGGGAGATGACACTCTAATTAGTTTGTAGCATGTCACGTCCCAAACATATCCACAACTTTTTATGAGACTAAGTACAACCCTTTTGAACCGTGCACCTGATGCTGCAATCATTTTTCTGCTATTAAACTGGGAAAAGTGGATTTGGCCAAGCCCCTAATGAATTTGCACCATGAGCTTCAGATCTTGCGCTTCAGATTGCTAAAATAGAGCCCCAAGTGTCTGAGGGTGTCCTTCTCTTTACTACAGTTACGTGGCACTGCTTTAATTTTGGAGCAAATTGTCTCAAAATTTGATTAGGTTCAGTTGTTCACCCATACAATATGTCTACAAGTTTGAAAAAGACCCATCAAATACTTTTCCAGTTATCAGGGTAATAAAATTAGTGTCTGAGGCTGCCCTTCTTCTTGTCACTACTGTGGTGTTGCTTCAGTTTTGGTGCAATTAGTATAAAAATCTGATCGGTTCCCAATCAAAAGTTCAAAAACCCACTAATGAGTCCAAAAACAAATATGCCATCTGGAAGGCTGTTATTACCTGAAGTGACAGCAGATGGAGCACTAGGCTCACCGTAGCCATAACGATTAACTGCAAGCACCCGAAACTGGTAACTCACTCCTGACCGGAGACGGTCCAGGCTGACAGAGTGGGACGAGCTGCTGGAGGGCAAGTTCTTGGCAAAAGTATCCCACAGGCCTTCGTCTGCAACAAATTTAAAAGACAGGTCAACATCTGCATCCCCATCACAGTTCTAATGATTAGTACAGATAGTCTGATTAAATACAACAAAGCAGCAGGTTAATTATAAATAATGCAAAAATTGTTTTACTGTGAGGCTACATTAAATTATTTTACCTGATGGACGTGCCTCAATGACATATCCGGTGATGGGTCCCTCCCCTCTGTCTCCCACTGACCAGTGAATGATTAGGGAGGAGCCTGACTTTGTGAGAGATATCTGTATGGGAGAACCAGGTGACCCTGCGGATTGACAAGAGGAATGGTTTATAATACAGCTCTGGACCTATGGTACTTATGAGCCTGGCTCAGACCACACGAAATTGATTTAGGTGCTGTGTTTCTGCAGTCCCGAATGAGCTCTGCGGGAAAGCGTATCTTTTTTTAGTTCACACGCTGTTGTGAAAATAGCACTTCCACTTCAGGAGTGTGACTATGAGTGAGAACAACCCAATAAAACAGAGGCATGACCACCCTGAGAGCATGATGTCACCCCCTGCAAGTGCATCTTCAGACCTACTCCTGTAGATGAGGGTCCCGCTCTCTGCATGCCATCCGTGGGGCTATTAATAAAAAAGGACTGTGTAGACTTTAAAAGTGACTGAGTGATGAGACATTATACAGATCCCATACCTTCCACTGGCCCCGTTGTGATGTTGGTTTCCAGCTCAGGGCCCAGGCTGATGGTCCGGGCCTGCACTCGGAAGTGGTAAGTCACACCCTTGGCCAGGTCTCGAACTTTGAGCCAGCATTGCTTGTTACCTGGAACGTCCACAGTCACCACCTTGCTGACACCTGTGAACAGATGAGCAGTGCCACAGAGACCATTGTGATTCACCGTCAGGGGATGAAGTTCATTTCATAAAAACACAATTGAAAGCTGCTGTCTGATTTAACTTTGAATAAGGGCCAAACACCACTTGCAAAGCAGTTCATCCCATCGTGCAGGATCCTTATAAACTGGCTGACTGGCACCAGACTGTTTCCAGTAAAAATGTGTTTTTGCAATGTTGCAGTGTATTGGAAGCATTTCAATTGAGCACCTTCAACTTCATAAGCGTGCACCGAATCCGATACGTCCCATGAGAATGAAGCAGATAGTTACCGTGGATCGGGGTGGAGGGCTCATACACCACCCGGTATCCCTCCACTATGCCGTTGGGTGACAGGGGCAGACCCCAGGACACATTAAGTGTTGTGGTGGTGACCTCAGAGAAGACAATGAAACTTGGAGCACTAGGAGCTGAAAGAGGAGACGGGGTGCAATTAATCCATTTGGGTAGTCGGATGCTCACCGAAAACAGCTTGTATAATATGCAACCATAATAACCTTTGAAACTTACTGTTATTCATGGCTGTTACTCAGGAGTGCAGTAAAAACATATGACCTGATATTCATTACTAATGATTTCATAATTAGGACTTTAAATTCACCACAGAGACTTGTCATTCATTATAATTTTCCATTTGGAGTCTTTCATTTTTAATGTTCCAAACAAAAAAATAATATACAGTGGTACCTCGGTTCTCAAACTCACTAGAATTCCAATTTCTTGAAAGTCGAACAAACCAGTTTGACCTAGAACTCGATCTGAATATCAGAAGTCGAACCGTGAACACTGACCTAATATAAATTGTATGCGCCAGGAAATGAGTCACACGGCAGGTCTCTGAGCAACGCTTCAGTGTCAGCCTCGCATTTGCTGTAGTAGTAGCGCTTGTTGGTGATAATGCTATTTTATTGAAAATACTGTATCAGGTACAGTAATACATTGTACTTTATATCATTTTGTTAGTCATTGCTCAACAAAAAGTGATTTAATACTTGAACAAATGTTACAACCTAAAAGTTTGCTATTCACGAACAAATTAACGAATACAGGGTAATAATAAAAATAAACAATGGACCGGATTCTAAGTTTTTATTGTCATGTACAGACTACAATGCAATTCTTACTTGAATGCCTTCTTCACAGACTGGACGATTAACCAAATAAAGCAGCGCAACATTACAGTAACTAACAATAAATAAACCACTAACTTACGTGTACTATTA